CTACCTCTATATCTCTCCACACACATAACTTTTCTCCTAACTATTGTACCTCTCCTGGAGCACACCTCTCCCGGAGCTTTTTCTCTCGCTTACCTTATTTAATCAATAAAGATTTTCCGGCCACCGTTGCCGTTTTTCATAGTGGAGTAGGTCACTTGGACTGAATCACTATATATCTGTGTGTTGACTCAATATTTACATTACTGCCATTGATTACTTTATTTATTATTCATTAATCATACCTTATCACACATTCAACTGTTGATATTGCATGAGACTATTTTGTATATCATCAGTTTGACGCCGTCAGTGAGAAACGACTAAGTTTTCTACTACCTTGTTACTTTCTATGGCGATCACGACCAGGTCAATCAGTCAACAACTAGGAGACAACAACTCGACCCCCCGGAGGAAGTTCCCCCTCCCCTCGTACCCTCGGAAGCATACACTGCGGCGACTCCTGTGGTCGGGGCAACAATTTTTACAAACCATGCATCTGCTGGTAAACTAGAACCAGTAAATTATTCAGTTGATGCTCGCCTCGGGAGGCATTGCCCCTCAGCTTGTAGGAGGAGCACCACTCCCTTTGACAGGAGAAGCACTGCTACTCTAGGCGCCAAGCCGCCCCTTACTGTGGAGCCTTGTGCCAAAACGCCCCCAGGCAACGGCTGAGAGTCCCTCTTCAGCGCGCGGGAAGCTTGGGTGTTCCCCCTCCTCATGTACCTACGCAAGAAGATGAGGGAGAAAGCTAGTATGCTGATCATGAAAGCCACTACAATGATCCAATGGAGAATGTCCCTAACCAGTGGGACGAGAAGATTAGAGGTCCAAAACCAACTTGACGATGCCCTCAACGCCATCAAAGCACAAGCGCCAGAGATTGTAGACTAAGGTTACTTGGATCGTGGGTCGGTTGGATACGTGGTACGGGTACAGGTGCGGGGTATATTATTTTTTGCGGTGCGTGGTGTGGTGGGGGTAGGCTTAGCTGGTACGCTATTTTGGGTCACGGTTTGCTTTGAACTATTATTCGGATCGTTTTCATTATTACAAAGAATTATATAAATATAAACATTATAAAATGCAAATCAAGACCAACAACAACACATCAACTAATAATCATGTATAATATTATCAAAAAAAGACAGCATATAAATTTAAAAACTTAAAATTTAAAAAATAACATACTAGAGAGCGATTAAATAGGTTCCTACTTAAAGCTCAAATCAAAATAACAGTCTTAAATATCTAACAAGTTTCTAATAAAAATTACTTAATAATAAAAAAAAATTGGAGCACATGAGTTAATTGTCAACTCTTTTCTTTTTATCTTTCGTAGTGTTCCCTCTTCTTGCAAAGTTACTAATTTGAGTCTGATGCAGTCCGGAATGACGGAGTGGTGGCCTGCTAGAACTAGTAGGTAGCTTGTCAATAGAGACGGGCATAGAAGCATGCAAGGATGAAGTTTCCTGATCTTCGCCTCCAGCAATGGTAGAATTATCTGTATTGTCATTCTCTAAGAATTTCTATCGCAAATCTTCTAATATCACTAGAATCATGACCTTTAAGTCAACCATGTCTCGATCCATTATGTTGAATGCATCTTCAATTGATCCCGTCGTTGGTGAAGGTTGCCACTTCGTCAATGTAAAATTTTTTAGGGATGAAGAAACTCCTATTTTTTGTCTTTTATACCATTTCTCGCAATTTTGTATATTCAGTCAAATTTTTCATTAACGTTTGACACTGTTTAATTTCTGCTTTTTTTCTGGATGGGGCACCAAAAAAATGATAATGCATTCGAGTATACGAACTTGTAAATTTACCACCGCAATGCTTATATGACCAACTCTTTGATCCCCCTGAATTTTTTCCTTGAGTTGCACCAATAAGATTGACTTCATTGAGTATTGGTTTCAATTTTGCTTAAACTTGTAATTGATCTTCCTGTGTACGATTTTTTTGTGGTTATCTAGTGTTATCTTCTTCCGTTACTTCAATATGTTTAACTTCTTGTTCATCAGCAGAATCATCCAAATTTTGAATTTTAATTTTTATTTGTTCTTCAATTTGAGAAGAATCTTGTTTTTCCCTCCTTTTTTTCCAAAAACCATTTTTAAGTAATAAGAATTGAAGTATTCAACACACTAGAGATATTGAAGGAATAATTGAGGAGGAAGAGGGAGACAGTAGCCGTCAGTATAGACTATAGAGGTTGCAGTTGGGATTAAAATATAATTGACATTAAAAAAGATTATATATAGGGCTATAGTTAACGTGTATGTGTATGTTTTCTAACCTAATTTTGACTTTTTTATCCAAATTATATTCTCTATTTTTATAAAATAAGTGGGGTTTTATGGTAATTTCACACCACCTAGGTATTAACTAAGAGTTAGGTAACTATTTCCCAAGTCTCCCATTCCCAGACAAGAGTCAGTGGCAATTAAGAGAGAGAGAATGAAGTTCTCGTCTCCTCAGTAGTCGTCGACGACGAAATCGAAGCAGAGAGAGAGAAACCGAGAGGGCGATGAACCAAAGAAGTCAGTTCATTGCGAAGAAGAAGCCAAATCGACACAGAGAAATAGAAGAAGTCGAAGCAGTGTCAGACTTGATTCGGCTAATAGGAGGACCCAAAATAGGTTACTGTTCATGAGCATTGTTCGTTGCCGAGAAAGAGTCTTGGAAAAAACATTGATCTTTTTCTTTCCTAGCTCGAAAACATTATCGATTCAACCCAGCAACCCCAAACCAGAGAAGCAGAGAAATCGAACCGAAGAAGTCGAAGTAGAGATCCATTGAGTAACTTACCTACTCTTTACTTTAGCCTATTAGAACTTAATCTGTCTAATTTACAATAATTTGGTTTGATATGGGGTTAGGGTTTATATTGGGATCTGGGTTTTGTTTATTGATTGGACAAATAGTTAGGGTCGGAGATAGTAGTGATCTAGGTCACGAACGACCCACGTTTGGGGTCGTACGACCCACGTTTGGGGTCGTACGACCCAAATTGTGGTTCGTAGGTCTTCTAATGTTTTCTGGTGACCCTGCTGTAGACTACCTAGTAAGGTGTACTGACACTCCGTTTGTGGCAGATGTTGTCAACTATTCTTTACCTTCAAAGTTCAAGATGCTCGCTAGTGAGATTTTTGGTGGCACCAAAGATCCTTTTGACCATCTTGACACATACAAATCTCTCATGTAACTTCACAACGTGCTTAATGGGATTATGTGTAGAGCCTTCGCTACCACCCTCAAGGGATCCGCACGCCAGTGGTTCGCCAAGTTCAAGCCTTTTTCCATCCTCTCTTTTGCGGAGTTAAACAAGTCTTTCGTCTCCCACTTCATTGGAGGACGCCGACACTAGAAGCCTGTTACCCACCTGCTCACCATCAAGCAGAACCGACATGAAAGCCTTAGGAGTTACCTCACTCGTTTTAACGAGGAGGCTCTCCAAATCGAGGAGCCAAACGACAAAGTGACCATGGCTGCCTTTATCGCAGGTTAGCGCTCCTCCAGTTTTATATTCGCTGTCCTAAAAAAAACCACTATCCAGCATACCCAAATTGTTGTCAAGGGCACAAAAGTACATGAATGTCGAGGATGTCACTAAGACCAGACGAGGTGAGTCCTTTCATGGGGGCGAGAAGAGGAAGGACACCCGTGAAGAAAAACGGGAAGTAGAGAACAAAAAGAATAGAATAGTGAAAATCTATGTCAAGGACCGCCTTGGTCCCCTGCCTCTGAGAGAGCGACAAACCTTCATGCCATTCAATGCTTCTGTGGAGCATATCCTATTCCAAGTACAAGATGATCCTATAGTACACTGGCCAGAGAAGATGAAGACCGCCTCGAATTGTAGGAGCCCAAACAACTCCTGCCATTTCCACCGCGACCAAGATTATGATAATGATGACTGCTTTGATCTTAAAAGGCAGATCGAAGAGCTCATACAACATGGCCGGTTGAGGCAGTACGTTGTTGGTAGAGGACAAGCCCGCCACCTGGCCGGGACCAGGATGATAGAAAACGCCAGTAACCCCTCAGAGAAATTCAGACAATCTCCTGAGGGCTAGGAGGAGGAGGCGACTCCAACTCTGCCAAGAAAGTCTTGGCCCACCTATCGAACACCGAACACTTGAAGAGCTATTATCAATAGCGGGTACAAGCTAGTGGCTCTCATTTTATCTGTCCTTTATTGTTTTAGTCGATTTATTCTGTTATTTATTATTTTATGAAATAAAACTCTGCGAAGATTATTGTGTACAGAACTGTCTTACTTTCAATTCATAAAGTTTGTAAACAACTTATAAAAGTCAGAATATGACCTAACAACAAGGTAGACAAAAAGATAAAAGTCATCATACTCTCGACGATCAGTTACGGTTCCACTGGCCACTATCATCAAGACTCTCCCTGTCACCATCTACTCCTAGGGTGTGTTTGGATAATACGATTGGATAGGATAGAATTTCATTTTTTATATCCTAACCCATCCAAGCCAAACCCTCTCATTCACTTTAAAACCCTAAAACCTTTGAATATATCCAATCCTAACATTTGTTTGGGAAACAAAGGTGTAATTCAATAGGTCCCATTAGTTACACAAATAATTTTGTAGTAGTTTACCATTCTACTCATGACTCTATTCATTCCAATCCAAACCAATCCTATCCTATGTTTGGATTGGTGGATTATCCTAACAAAATTATATATTTTTCGCATATACATAAAAATATATAAAAATAAAATAAATTTTTTTTTTAGGAAAGTTAATAATTTTTTTTTTCAAATAAATTAACACTTTATTTCATTTCTTAAAAATTGATTACAATGGGCGAAAGGATGAAATCACATGAATCAGAAGAAATTAAAAAAACCAAACACGATGGTGAGAAAAGCACTCTGAAGGAATGCTCTTTCAGTTTACATGGCCAAGACTCGTTTCAAGTGATTTTTTTTTTTTTTAATGGAAATTTGTTAAAAAATAGAAAAATTTACAAGAAGCAAAAAGGACTGAATCCTTCACAACAAACTACTGCCTTAAGCACCATAACACCAAAATTTGTAGTAGCTTCCACTGGCAGAAGACCCACCATAACAGCAGCACCATCACAGCATTCCTCAAAACGCTTCAACAGACCCACCATTACAGCAGCACCAACACAGCAGTCCTCAAACAGCTTCAACAGACCCACCAACACAGCAGTGTGTGTGTGTGTCAATTATGAATTTAGAGTACCTATAACAGGTCCATTGTAAAACTGTGCTAAATTTCGTTACATATTTTTTTTTTTAAAGAATAGAAACATTTTATTGAAAGAAAAAACAATTACAAGAATCAAAGAATAAACTATTTTGAAAAAATACAAGCAATGGCTTTAATCCTTCAAGATGATTAAAACCATTTTTAACTACATTTTTGCACCTCCTGATCTTTATAACCCAGCTCCTGGATCTTTAATCAACTCCCAGACAGCTCCTGATACAAAGATAATTTGCCATATAATAGCAGAACACCACTGATACTGAAAAACCTCTCTGTCCAGCTGCTGAGCATGCACTCCTCCTTGCAAATGTGAATTGATCCAACTGCTCAGACAGAACAGAACAGCAAATGAAGTATCACCTAAGCCAGATGTGATTCATGGTGAATGAAGTATTACCCATTCATTCAACATTTAGTCTAGGAAACAAATGTAACAAATTACCAACATTGTTGCCATCTAGCCATACTCCAGCATCCTTGAATTTGGAAATTTGATGGTCCAACACCTAGAACATGCCTGCACCTGACATGCGTACCTAATTGCAAGTTAGATAGCCAATAAATGACATACCCAACACCTAAAAAAAAATTTGCAGCAAATAAATGACATTCAAACACATTGAACTATACTAAAAAAACAAATAAATAAATAGACATATACATATGCGATTATGTAAAGAGAAAGAAAGGGGAATATCCTAACCAGGGTCACATTGCTGATAAAATTGTTCAACCTCTGCTGCAACAACAACAACAACACAAACAAACAAACAGGAAAAGAAACAACATAAACATTGTCAGATTCAGAAAACATCTAAGGAATCAAGAAAGAAAAAAAAAAAAAAAAAAAACAAAACCTGTGGTGAGAGCCTTGATCAAACCAGCTAGTCGGCCCTTAAAATCCCTAAAAACTTCGGCCCTTAAAATCCCTAAAAACTTCTTCGACAGTTCTTGGATTGTACTCTCCTCCTTCATCCATCATAGAGCAGCTTCACAAACACACAAAGTCAGAAACAACAAACAGAAAGCTAGTAATGGCATAGGCATAATCAGTTGAAAATAGAGGACTAAATTGATTAATTTTTTAGGAAAGTTAATATTTTTTTTTTCAACCAAATCAACAATTTATTTCTAATCTTAAAAATTGATTACAATGGGAGAAAGACAATCTGTTCGTCAAACTCAGATCCAGACTTGTTCGTCGAACAAAAGGTGAACGAAAGTAGATCTGGTCTTTGGTGTGTGTTCTGCATTCTGTCTAGAGAGATAGATAGAGAAAGAGAGAGACATAATAGAGATAGAGAGAACGATGAGAAACTTACCTGAAGAAGAAGCTGTGTTCTTTGTTTTGTCCAGCGATGTCGTCTTCTTCGTTGATTCTTTGCGAACCCTTGGACGAGCTCTCACCCTCAGATGCAGAAAATTAGAGGACATCCCCAACGCCATGATCGTCTTCGCCTCTGTGCGAACCCTTGGACGAGGTAAGATGACAGGAGAAAGAGAGAAGAAGATGACACAGATGCAGATGCAGATACAGAGGGATGGGTGGAGAAAGAGAGAGGGGCAAATACGTCTTTGGGGGGGAGTAACCCATTGCCTGGGTTTGTAACCCAAGGGGGGCTAGGTTATCTGAGACCGGCCTATGGGGGTTAAACTTCAATTGTAGCAATTGGGTTAAGCATGTACTTGGGATTTGTAGCCAATCTCAAAAATACTTCCCAAACAAAGGTTATATGGGTCCCATTCCTTTTTTATCCCATCCAACTAGTAGATAATCCCTTTTATCCCACTACCCAAACACCTCCCTAGTGTCTCATATTGGACGAAGTCAGAGAAATCAATACCAGGAAAATCTGTCAAGCTCTTTATAAATATTAATGAAGGCGCCTGCAATGGCTCTCTTAGCAACCTCCCTCCTTATCTCCATCTCAATGCAATGAGCCTTTGCCACGACAGCCCTCTCCTAAATTATACCTAGCGCGGCCTCCAACTTTGCGGCCCTTTCACAGGACATCTGCAGCTCTGACTCTGTTCTTGCGCGGGTAGTCTATTTATAAGCCTATGTTGCGACATCCCTTTTCCGAGCTATACGAAGCTTGACCTTCAGCTTTACGGCTCCCATCATGGGACGTCTGCAGTTCTGACTCTGTTCTCGCGCAGGTAGTCTATTTATAAGTCTCTGCCACGGCAGCCCTCTCCCGAGCCATACGTAGTTCGGCCTCCAACTTTGCGGCCCTCTCACGGGACATCTACAGCTCTGACTCTGCTCTGCCACAGGCCACCGGATAGAGGGCGTCGCCTAGCGCCTGGGCCGACGCGATGAAGATACCAAACTGCTGAGTCTCCTTGCCTGCTCCAACGATGCTATCTACTCCTACTCTACCTTGGGTCACTCCTTTCGTCTTCATTAAAGGATGTTTTCTTGGAGCATTGTCAATTGAAGCCCTTTTCTCCAAATTTTTCCTCCTCTCCATTGAAAACTTCAAAATCACAAAGGAGTTTAGCTAAAGAAAGGAATAGAGGGGTGGAGTCTAGATGGTTTTAAAACATTAGCTCCTTGAAACCCTTAAAAATATGCCCTACAAGAAGAGAAAAAAGGGCCTTTTAAGTACGGAAGATTGAAAATTCCCTCTATCTGAACAATAACCATGAACCAATGAAGCAATAAGGTAAATGAGCTTCAACGACCGAAAGGATAGAAGACCAAAGGAGTACCATGGGGAAGAGGAAACTTCCTATTTGTCCAAGCTCACTCATGCCCTCAAACCTTTCTTTCTTTTGTAATAAAGACTTGGGGCATGGGGGCAAATGACGAGCCCAAATCTAGCTGGGCTTAGCCCAATAAACCAAGTAAGCCTGCATTAGCTAAAAGCAAGTCAAGTCCTGTTAATCAATTCGCCCAACCGAAGGTTCAAGGAGTCCATGAAGAAAAGAGCACATGGGGGATACACACCCTTAGAGATCAAGGCTATCTTAATTGTACTTACCTTTTGTAGTTATCCTCCCGAGAAACTAGTGCTTTTACTCTGACGTCACCGCCTCAACAAAGGTTCAATGCCTATAAATTGTAAGTCCTCTTAACATGAGAGGATACATTGAGCTCCACCTCTATACCTCTCTATAGCCACATAGTTTTTCTCCTAGCTATTGTACCTTTCTTGGAGCACACCTCTCCTGGAGCTTTCTCTTGTTTGCCTTACTTAATCAATAAAGACCCCCTGACCACCGTTGCCGTTTTCCATAGTGAAGTAGGTCACCCGGACCGAATCACTATATATCTGTGTGTTGACTCAATATTTACATTATTGCCATTGATTGTTTTATTTATTGTCCATTAGTCACATTTTATTACATACTCGACTGATGATCTTACATGAGACTATTTTGTGCATCATCAAAATTTATTGGTTTGTAAGGTGTTACTCGTTTTGTATGACACTTCGGAGATGTTAATTTGATTGATTTCTTTGGCATTTATTGGTATTTTTAATCTGGATTTTGGGTTGGTTATGGAAAAATGTTGGAAAAAGCGGAGACTAATATTGAAATGAAAGAAGAGGAAGGGAGAGAGCGAGAAGCTCTCCCTTGGGTTAGATGTCCATATTTTTCCTTCCCTCCACTCTATGCGGCCCAACCTACCCATAAAAACTGTCTTTTTCACTGGATCTCATATTGGATCATCTAAATTTGAGTCCCCTTGCACACATCAGGGTGCGCACCTCTTTGGTACCTCTTATGAGAGAGAACGAAGGGGATTTCTTTTTTGGTTTTCATCTTATGCATGTGCACATTTTTAGCTCATGGTTTTGTTAGCCATCACTATTGCTCGGGGAGTTTAAAGATATAGGGAAATGAGAGGGAGTTTTTCAGCAATTAGTTGGAGCAAGGAAATTTATGCCAGTGTTTTCTTGGGACAAACAGAACAATTTTCCTTGGTTTTCATGTTTGGTCTTGATACTGGCTTGGTTTTGCGTCATTTGTGATGAAAAAATTCAGCGAACTCCTTAATCAAATATTCCTTAATTACCCCGCAACCATCATTGGAAAACAACCAATGTAAGGCCATCTGACCTCAGGAAGTTTGTTCTAAAACACTTAGAAATAGCAAACCTAACTTCAATATACTAAAAAGATCTTTCCAACCAACTTGTTTTACAACCATCAATGCCACACTATTTTAAACTGACAAATCTTGGGTTATTATTATACTTAGATGGATATAAATTTATGAAAGAAAATAATTAAAGGGAGGTCCAGTGCATGAGGCTTCTTCTACTGAGGTTTTGGAGATGGTCTCATGTATGCAACCTTACTCTCAATCATATCCTCATCTTCAATCACTACATTGTTATCATTCTCTGACTCATTTATGATTTTATTTTTGCTTCTACAATTGTAACCGAACATATTTTGAATTATTATTCTCATCCTTCGTGAAATTTCCTCTTTCCAAAATCCTCTCTTTTTTCGTAAAATTTCTTCCAATCCATTTTCTTCTTCCCTCTGATTTGACTCAATTCTTGTCAAAGTTAAAGCTCTCATAATTTTCACATCACAAAAATAATCATTGTTTTAATCCTTCAAGTCAAACTTTACAATTTCTAACTTCTTCCAAAATTTAAGACCCTCCTAACCTTGAAAATTAAGTTCCTTCCACTGATCCTTACAAGCATTCCTGAAAGTATGAGGGTTCGCCACATATTTCAAACATGAAAGGAACCAACTCTCATTTAAAGGAAAAAGTCTCTAACACTTGGATAATGATCCGAAATCACCCCTGGAAAAACCTCATGCATAAAACACTCATTACCAATCAGTTGAAAAAGAAACTTAGGATATTGCATGCAACTTCTTTCCCAACATATGCCTAAGTGAAAGCACCATTAACCAAAGTTGAATCCTTGAAATCAAATTCCCTAATAAACGCATCGAAATCTCTCATACATCTTGTCGCTTTACCTTTTTCAACTTCCCAGATGTGTCCTAATCACTTTGAAATCACCGCCTAGACACCACCTAAGGCTACATAACCCAAAAGGCCTTACTTATTCTTCCCACAACTTTCCCAACCTTAGACGATTTTGTTAATACACCTCGGCTAAGCTTAACAACACCTACGTTTGGTCTAATTTTGACCGAATGTTGTTCTCTCTCTATCGATTGCTCTACAGACATAACACTCTAAAGGGCATATCTAGTACACGAGGCTCCCGCCATTACGGGGTCTGGAGAGAGTTAGATGTACAGACTTACCCTGCATGCAGAGAGGCTGTTTTCGTAGACATAACATTCTCATTCTATATAATTGAGATTCCACCGATATACCCGTAAATGTCAAAGAAATTCAATTCCCTAGCCTTGAGCCCCCTACCCTCTTTGCAATGCTACTATCTACAAGTATCAACTAAGTTTCTTACAAAATCATAATATTTGGATTTGCCTCCAAAAACAAATTCTCTTATTAGCACTCTCTCATTTCTCAACCGCAACAACCTAACGTTGGGACTAACAATGTTCATGCTATACCATTGTTGCCCTCTCCTCACATCCATACTTTACTTTGGCACTTGTCAACAAACAAGAATGATTGGTGGACAAAAGCTCACTAATGTCACATACCTTACGATTTGAATGAAAAGAAGACCCATCAATCTTTCCATTCTTTCTGGCTGTTTCATTCTTGTATTCGTTATTGTCATTCCCGAACAATAATTCAACATCACAATTTAGCTATAAGCGGTTATTGTTTTGAAAACTAAGTTCCCATCCCCACTATCGTCAGAGCCAAGCATTGAATCTTTGCACCCTTTGGCAACCTGATTCTGCATAAACTAGCCTTCATCAACACTTCCGAAGCTCGTGTTAATTGATGATCGCCCACCGAATGGGACTTATCATCGAAATCTTCCTTATACCTTCTAGATTGACTAGCATCACCAAAAATACCTATTCGGGGCCTCACAGTTGGCAGCATTGTTAACTTTGTCTAATCTCAAACAACTAAGGAAGGCAATGTTAATTTCTTCCAACAACCTTCTTCACCTATCTTTTACTCTTTAATTTGGATTTGGGCGGGACCCCAATACAAAGATAGACGGCCCACTGATCTTAAAACATCTCTTATCTTTAGCCTTAAAAGGACAAAGATGTCTTGGACCTTTGAATCAAAAAGCCTACTACCAAAACAAGTAGACTAGGGCTCTTTTTTGGCCCAACATTACTAAGGCATTTAGATTTACCGTTTTGAAGTTTATTTGAAGTGGGCTGTTAATCAAGCAGACATTCATTGTGATAGCCAAGCCCATCCTGCCATAAACCACTACCGAAGGCCCACTTTAAACAGGCATCTCCCTGTCCATTAAACCCTTAATTGCCCTTAGTTTCCTTCCTATTAACCCTACCATGATTATTCCCACCCCTAGCTACCTTAATCTCGGTGTTCTACTTCAATTATCCATTGGAGCCTCACTATATTTCCTAATACTCGGCCCATTTCCTTATTGGCAAACCACAACTTTAATTGCCTATGCATTAGGCTGTTGCTTGCAATTAACACCCAACTCACGTCTCCACACCACTCCTTAGTCTACACCGTCCCTTCCATTCCTCTCCCTAATATTGTTGCTATTTGCCCCCTTAGAAACTCATAGGTTGTCTACAACCTCTCTCTCAGTTTATAGTGCTTTTGTGCTACCTATATTCTGGAATCACCTATGCGGCCATGCCCATTTTTGCTGGACTAAAAACCATCAAAAGGTTCTACTCTAATTCCAACCACATCATACTAACCTTAACCGCGGTTCCAACTTTGAGGGAATTAGTAAAATTCATGGTTTCTTTCATCAATATCAGTCAATCCACCATAATTTTCATTTGTCACCAATGTTAAGGAAGACCTTCTCTTTCAACAACTGGAAAGACAAGCCTTCTATCGCAATTGGAAATAACCAATTTATCACATACGTAATTAACCATAGCCACTAGGTCTCGAATTCTGCATCTTAATGCCAGTCTGCCCATCAAGAAGACAAATTCTGGTGCTTCCTACTCTCCTAGCATCCCGGCGATCATTGTAGAGGATGAGCCTTATTAATCTAAAAAATAATCCATTGAAAATAATAGTGAATGCCGGACACACAACATTTGAATTTGAATTGCTCTATCTACTATCTTCTCTCTCACATATATGGCTTTTAACTCTCATTTCTGTAACTTGAATCAATCTTAGATAGAGTAGTTAAATCTACAACATTTCCCTCCATGGTATCTGAACATTCCTTGCTAACCAAATCTTTCCTTGTTTTTCTCCAAAAATCTTATCGTTGATAATCTCTGGTTCTCCTCTACACCCTTGATTATCAGTTGCCTTGAGAAATAATTCAAACTTGTCTGATTCCACTCATAAGTATCTTGGAGATTGAGACAAACGTGTTGCTATGATTTGAAGGTTGCTCACTCAAATGCAGGTTGTCCC